AAATCGGTTCAGATTTAGATATAGTTCCCATATATATTTTCGTATATCTTTCAATTTGCACGAAATTTGGCATGACATACTGAATTAAGAATGAAGTGTGTTAAGTTTCATGAAAATCGGATCAGATTTTTATAGCTCCCATATATATTTTCGTTCGATTTAATGTAAATGGTGTATTAAAATCCATATATATCTTTTGTTTTGCACGAAATTTGGCATAGCGTACTGAATTAGGTCTAGAATGATATATCTTAGATTTTGTGAAAATCGGTTCAGATTCAAATATAGCGACTGGAAAAACATAGAAAATTTTCGTGGCGTTACAAACTTTTGAGGCCACACAAAAAGTTCTGTAAGGATAATAACATGCAATTCGGGTTTTAAATGTGCTCACGATCTGTTCAAAAATTTTATAATTTACATCATGAGTTGGATCTTTGTATAGAGGCCATATCGAAACATGGACCCAGGAGGATTCTTTTTCTTTTATCCGTGTCTTCAGTTTTGGGAAGAGCAAAGAGGCAGCGAAGTCCATGTCCGGTGTATTCGGTATTCACGCACAAGCATAATTGTGTGGGTTGGTGTGTATCGTGATGCAAAATATATGATTGATTTTCCACAAATATGAGAGGTAGTATTTCTTATTGACGAATTTGTGACAAGAAATCAAGATGCACCACGACATTGAAGTCGATGAAATCTTTTACATTTAACCCAACTGGACGTGCCTATTCTGGATATCTTCTCGACCTTGCTTAAACGGTCATATTTTGATAATTTGTATTTATATCGAACTTATTGCGAAATTGCATCTGGGAAGTAAATTTCAACGTATCAAGATTCGATCTTTGTCATCACATCAGAACAGATTTTTCTTGTAGTGACTTTTATTCCATACAACCTTCAGTAGTTACTTCCTTGCTATACAAATGTTTTCAAGCAAAGTTCGGAAGTTAAGTAGATAAATGTAAACGCTAAGCTGTCAAACAACATTTGAGATTGCCTAGGAACTAGCGTTCAATTGAGAATAGTACCTAAATAAGAAAAGTGTCTGTTGGGATTGCCGAATGGTTTAATATTTTTATTGCGATGTATCAACGAGGACGAGGTATGGACAGATGACAGCTCATTTCAAGTAGAATACACCTTTTTCAAATGTTAATCAAAACATTTCAATTGCAATTCAAGAATTTCATTTGTAATTCGAAAACTCAATTTGCACTTCATAACATTTCACATGTAATTCGAGTATGTAATTTATAATTCACAACGTTTCATTTGTAATTTTAAACTTTTCGTATGAAATTCAAAAAATTCCATTTGAAACTTAAAGAATTTCATTTGTAATTCGAATATTTCCATTTGAATTTCGTAGAGTTTCATTTGAAATTCAAAGAAATCCATTTGATATTCAAAGAATCCAATTTCCAATTTCACTTGTAATTCATACAATTTCAGTTGTAATTTATAACAATTCATTTAAAATTCATACATATTCCTTGTGTGTTACCAATAATATTTTTCGAATTTAAAATTTAATTTTATGAAAAACAAATGAAATGTTATGTATTTCAAATGAAATTTTAAGAATTTCAAATGGAATTATTTAAATTTCAAATGGAATTTTATTAATTTCAAGTGGAATTTTATACATTTCAGATGCAATACTTAGAATTTCAAATGGAAGTTTATGAATTTCAAATGAATTCTATGAATTTCGAAAGGTATTCTATGAATTACAAATGAAATTCTCGAATTTCTACCGATATGTTATCAATTACAAATGGAATTCTCGAATTACAAATTGTTTGTTGTGGATTACAAATGGAATTCTCGAATTACATTTCATATGTTTTGAATAACATGTGAAAAGGGTGTAGTAATAATTACCTTGGCCAATATTAAACACCATAACACGATAGGTTATAAACACATTAACATGATAGGTATTTACCGAATTTGGAAGACCCATATCTCAGAAAGTATAGACTTTTTTAATTTAAACCCACATCGCATTTGAGAACTTTAAAGGGCTCTCCGCGGATATTTTAAGTATCACATCTCAGGAAATATGGACTTCTTCCATAAAAAGTTACATTTTTGTAATCAAAACTTCAACTGTTTTAAGTTTAAATTAATTGAAAAAACATGGGAAATACAAGGACCCTGGCGAACTTTGAACCATATACAGTGATGGTCACGTAATTAAAACATTTTCTATGGCAAAATTGGCAACAATTTGTACAGTACACCTAACATTCGGAAAATCACACTTAATATAGGAAATAAAAGTCCGGACAAAGTACTAGAATTAGTAGAAAACAATAAATACTTCTTATAATAAATAAATATTTGAAATAAAAACTTAAAAAATTGGAATAAACCTAAAGGTTTCGATAGCCTTGATTGAAGAAGGTCGGCATATGTTTGCAGTATGTGAGGAAATTTCGATTAATATTGACATTTATAATATCAAATCGATTGTTCGAGTAGGACAGAATATATTTTATAAAAAATAGACCAGTCACACTAGCGTGAGTGACAGCTCTTTTGTGGCTTTTGTATCAAAAGTTAAAAACCGGAGTACTCCTAAAGATCTACAAAAAAGTATTAAGGATAATTAAAAAAATGTAATTGTTTTTGATTTATTTAACATTTAAAGTTTGAATTTGCCTCTGAAAGTCATGTGACTGCAGAAGTGTCCATATTGTAAACATTTCAAAACGATCCGCGACCCGGTCTTAACATGGACTTCAGCCGACTGTTTAATGTAAAATAACGAATAAGAACGTCGTTCAAATACAAATTTAACTTTGACATTCCTTCATAAATTGACATTTCGTCCAATGTATACCTGACATCTTCGTATGTTTCAGCCATTCACTTTATATTTGTTCTCTTTAAAAATTTGTATATTCATAACCCTACAAAATGCCTTTGGTTTAAACTATCTTTAATACCATTCAATATAATTTATTATTACTTATATTTATAGATTAAATCATAAAGCGGCAACACTGTTTGGCATACATAAACACATACCAAGCACCTACATGTGACTCCCAGAAAAAAAGAAAACAAAAACAACAATCATAATGTTGAACAACCATTAAAAAACCCAGAGAAATCAATCATTTGTTTTGGTCATGCTTTACGAAGAGACAAGTGTAAGGCAGCAGCAACAACAACAACACGTACAATAGCAACAACAAAATAATAACTGGGCAAACATAGTTGTTGTAATAGAATCCCATGCAGTAGCATAACAACACAACATTGTCGACATTGTGGAGTTGCGAGAGTGGAATAATATAATGTGAGTGTTTGTGAGAAAGAGAGAGATAGATATCAATTTGGGGTGTGTTTTTTGTGAGTTAGAGAAGTCGAAATTGCAAATGGACAGTTGTGTGTGTGCTAGAAAAAGAAAACAATATTCGATTGTGTAGAATGCCAAGTAAAACCGATTACTTGGTAACCATTTGTAAGGATTTTTAATGGGGAGTTTTGTGAAATGTATTTGTCTCTTTTGTTCCTGCATAAAGGAGCAATAAAAGAAATAAAAACTAATACCAACCATGCTTGTGTATGCAAGGGATGTTAAAGATGTTAACATCCTCCACCTTCCTGTCCTGCCGTACACACAAAAAACGCCTAACTAAATGAAATGATGATGATAACCATAAGCAAATCCGGTCGTACTTTTCCCAACCCCACCACTACCACACATTAGTTAAAAACCGTTAACCGTCGCTGTTGACGTCAGCGTCTCTGCCAACGTCAACGTTTTCGTTGAGACATTAAGGTTTTCATGATCCTTAATTTCGTTATGATTTATATCAATGCTCTCCACACTTGGCCTGCATATCATTTCAAATCAGAACGCGAACACGAGTGTTAATACACCGACAACGACATAAACTCACGTTTTGAAAATATTTATTGTGAATTCCGTTTTTGATTTTGTTGCGAAAGAAAAAATTCGTAAATTAATTAAATTATTTAAGACGACTCTAAGCAGAGCATTTTAAATTTTGAAAGTTATGACCAGTTGAGAAAAAGTTTAACCCAGTATTGTTTGAAGAATACAGTTTTTTTGTGGTTGTTGTTGGATTCTGTCAGGAATCCTGACGCCGACGTTGACGTACTCGTGTATCCAATTTGGTTTTTTTCTCTGCAAAGCAGACGTTGTCGTTGCCATCGTTTGGGCCACGTCCGAAGTTGGCATATGTTGAACTTTGTATAGCTCAGTGTATTCGCGTATGTATGTGTGTGTGCGCGCGTGTTTTTGTAACTTTCTGTGTATATGTCGGTCTGTCGGCAAGTGTGTGTGTGCCTTGGTACTATTCCGAATATTCCTTTGCCGCAGTCTATCATCATTAGTTGACGCTGGATCGAGTTAAATGAAAAACGCAAATTTCATTATTCACCAAACAGTCGTCGGTGTCATCGTATTTATTACTATTATTATTGTTGTTGGAGTTTTCCTTTATTAAAATTAACTCACAAGCCAAAGTTAAGTCAAGTCAAGCAGCTATCCAGCCAACCAGCCAGCCAAGTAGTCTCACTTTTCTATACACCTTTGAAATCGGATTTTGTTTTCTTTTTCCTGTGGACCGACTCATCATCATTCATAGGCACGCGTCGCAACAAATTTCCTAACGATTTTAGACAAAACCAAAAAAATCAGGGTCCCAAAAGTTGGTCGGTCGTTCGGTTGATACGACGTGCATTGAACGGAAATCTAATTTTCAAATATTCTATTGTAAACATTAGAAAGTACCGTTAATTAAACATAAACGAAGGCAAACAAACCGGATGTAAACATTGAATAGTGTTGGAATTTGTAAACTAATTTAAAGAAGAATTAAAGAAAAGTGAAAATAAAAAAAAAACACAAAACATAAAGAAGAATTACTCAAAGTGTAAAAAACAAGTATTACAAAACAACATTTAACCTTACTTTTTGCCAACTAATAAAAAACAAAGAGAAAAATAAACAGCACTACAACGAAACCTCCCACACCGCTGCACCTAACCTCAACTATTAACGATCTAAACGCGGAAAGTGTTAAATTCTTCCCATTGGATTATCCTGGTGATTTCTTCAAAACGTATATCGATTCGAGATTCTACGCCGGCCACAAATTGGATTTCAAACAACAAAATTGTGCCGGCGGCCCGGGTTCTGGTGGTGGAGTCGTCGGCAATAACAACAATAGCCATCCAACAGCGGCGACTTCGGCTCATTTGTCCGCCTCGGCGTCGGCACCGTTACACGGTTTAGCGGCTCACACGGCGGGCCATCAATCCCATCATTCCCTGCTAAATTCACATCACGCACTACAGCAACACCAGCAGCAGCAACAACAACAGCAACATCAAACAACACCATCACCTTCCATACAATCGCAACAACAACATCAACAGCAGCAGCAACAACAACAACAATTGCATTCCAGTAACTCTGCACCCAATAATCCAACATCTTTAGGTCCCCTAAATTCCTCGTCCATTAACACCAACGGTAATCCATCCGGAACCGGTACTAGTTCACCATCAACGGCCGGTATTCACCCTACTCAGGATACCCATTCCTCGTCATCGGTACCGCCCGTTGCTACCTCGCTCAGTGCTCCCTCCCTACCCCATATAGCACCCACTTCACTTGGTCTCAGTCCCCAATCCTCAGCGGATTCTCAACAATTTAACATCTTTCCTGCCATTTTTAGTCGCCAGCTGAACTTTTCCGCGGCGGCTGGGGGTTGTGGTCAAAGTAAACTAACCATGGATGAACTACGGCCGAATCTAGTTGGTGGCCTTTTGGGCCTACAACAGGGTCTACTCGAGGATCATGCCGCCAGTATGCAGCACGCTGGCTCTGTACCCCAAGACACCAAGTTTATGTCATTTCAAGATAATCGCCTCATGGGCATTGGTTCCTCACACGAAAATCGCCTTTTGGGACTTAGCTCGTCGGTGCAAGACAGTCGCTCACCTGCCGCCATCACCTCCATGGACAAAAATCCGCTCAATCATCAGCGAAAATGCAGCAGCACACCCGAGGATTTTAGTTCATTGTATTCGGGATTACCCACACCTGGTATTGATTCGTCGTCGCATCATCACACACCCGCTCATACGCCGCCAACGAGGCTATCGGATCATACGATATCTGGTAATTATGCTCATTCATTCATTATTTGTTTTTGTTTTATTTTTCGTATTGTTCCATTAATCCTTTCATTTGTCCAAGAAATTTGTCAAAATGACCATCATCGCCATTTCCATCAGGAGCAGCAGCTTCTGTTTTTGCTTCCCTAAAATTGCTAATCCGTTCACGGGTTTAATGTCAGTAGTTGTCATTCATTGTGGTTAACACTTTATGCCAAAGACCATATGTACATTCATCCCTTCCTCCTTTTATTCATTCATTGTCTGAAGTGAGAAGCGTGCGTCTGTTTGTTTATCCTTAATAAAGTGGGCACACGCTTCACCCGGATTATGATTTGTGTCGATTGTGTGTTGACATTTGACACTTAATTGTTTTGACGCCAACAACATAGGAAAAAAGGTGTTTACTGTTTGTTTGCCAACTGTTCCGGGGCATGAAACCCAAATAGTAAATGCTGGGTTATTTCATGGTTGACAATTAATTTTGCAGGTTTTTATTTGAATGTGGGGGTTTTCAGGCTTGTGGCCCATTATAATATTTCTCTGGATAATATCAATTTAAACCCGATTACAGTAGTTAAGTAGTTTGGAGAAACAAATTGCTTGACAGTTGCTAAATATCAATGGAATAAGGCTCGGTACAGTAGTCGGGATAAATTTTCACTATAACTTTGATAAATTAAGATAAATCGATTATGGCTTGCTTCCTTACAACATTTGACTCTATTATCAAGTTTCATTTGATCTGATAATAAAAATTATGGTTCCCAACCTCCATCAGTGTT